CAAAACAGATGCAAATAAACATGTTTGTATGTCCTATGTATGTTTGTTTTAAAAACGTTGCAGCGGCGCTGGGAACTGCAGTCTTAGATCTGGGTATGTTTGGCATCTGCAACTCTTCATATACACATTAACCCTATTTCGGACGGGGAGGCCTTTCAGGATTTTCTTGTACAATTGTCAAACGCCCCGAGACATTCAGCTCATATTTGGTGACTTTTCCTAAATGCTCATTGCGCACATCTCAGAAAAAAAAATGCCGGATCAGGTCAGGTCAGGTAACCAGAGCGGGTTTGTTGACCCCACCTCAGAAAAGTTTGCAATCACGTCAGAGCTTGAGTTTTTCACGAAGTTATTTCCTCTTATCAAGTCTTCAAAACAGTACCTGCAGTATGTGTCGTTTGTATATCTCAGAATTTTTCATCTGTGACCTGAGGTTAGGTCAGAGTCGTGACCTTTACATTGCAAGCCTATGGAAAAATAATGAAATGCGACCTGCACCTCGAGTAAACGAGTCAAAATCACCCAATTCTTTAAGAATTATGACAAATTATCTTATCTGTAATGATCCAGGTGTCATTTACTGACAGGGACACCGGAGAGGGTTATCTGAGGGCGAGATCATGTGAGGTGATATCTACCATACATCAATGCTCACAATACTTACAATATTGACAATGCTTACAATACTGTTACAATACTTACGATGATACCAGCAAGCACTCTGCCGTTACAGTTCTAACTTCTGTTTCGAAAACCGACGTTACACACATTCGCTGCCAGCATAACATGTATTGTTTGACAATAACAAAATACAATTGACATCTGAACCCCAAACGGACCGCCATCCACCCAAATTTTATAACCCTGACCGGTCAGGGGGCGAATGGAGGTCATCTCCTGGGCATTACACTCAGCCCTTGCACAAAATATCTCACCTCACAGTGATCATTACAACAATATCTCCGACTTGATAGTGGATTTCAAAGTACTTGCATCAGCTCTTCCTGCTATTGCAGACGATCATCTCCTCAGGGTAATGTTGTTCGGGACATGAACGAAGATCGTTTTCGGAGTTTCATAAGTGCTACTGCAACAGCCTGGCACAAAACAGGACTTGTACGTTTTTCTCTGCACTTTGCCCTTCAGTATATCACAAAAGAATTGTTTAGAATCCATCTTACGCTTCTTTCAAAGTCTCCCTTGCCACCGTAGGGCGTAGATAGATTGCTGTTGCTGGTAAGTTAAGGCACGGTAGATAGAAATTACCTCGGTTCTCAACGCCTTAAGTTATTTTTATGAAAAAGAACACAAAAATTATTAATAAGATTAGAGAAATGTTAAAATTTTATGTGTAAATTAGGCCAAATGCGTATTGGAAAGGCTTTTGCCCTTCAGCATCTTCCGATTCATCATGTTTTTCATTTGAAAATTCGAGGTTCACAAAATGTTTACCACGCGCTCAATGTTAAATGGGAACAGTACACGGCAGACGCATCAATTTTTGACACTGAACCTTTCATCCGTGAATGCTTTAGCATAATTTAAAGCTAAAAACAGCGCGAATGGCAGAGTGAAACAAACAACCTCTTTCGCACATAGAAATAACATGTAATCGGTGGTGCGCCAGATGCGCCATTATTTGTCAACCGCAGAAGGTGACATCTGACGTAACAGCATCAAGAGCGTCTTTTTCAAGAACGTTAAAAAACATGTTTTCTATCTGTCTTCCCCCATTTCTCTCAGCATAATGACTTTATGAGGAAATTGTATGCACCAGAAATTCTGCGAAAATAGTTTAATCATTTCTAGACATTCTTAAAAAATCGAGTTCCCAACCCCATTGTTTCTTTTTTATTTTGTCCAGTGACCAAGGGTGAGCAACATCATCCGAAATATATGGACTTGTGAGTTAGATATTATTATCCCAGATAATAATCCGAAAAGTAACTATACATAGCTAATTTCCTGGGAAAAAATGACTTTAAAACAACATATGTGTCCGTACACGTTTAGTGACTGCGGCGCGCTCCTATATAGTAGGGCTAGTAACCGCAATCATCGCCTTATTTCGTTACTCTTAAAGAACACCATCACCAAGTGGCGGCGATGGTTTCAGTAGCGCCGGAACACCTTCAATTATAAAGGGGGGGGGGGGCACTGTCGACTTTTGGTCCTATTCTTTCCATGCAACACCCATAGGGCTAATGTTAAAATGTCAAAATCAAGGGGGCACGGTGTCCCGGTGCCTTCCCCCCCGTTCCACCGCCTATGGATGGTTTGCTTCTTTTAGTGAACAATATTTGTAGTTTTCCATAAGATGGTGTTACACGCTGACAAGTATTTGGCCAGTTGACGGTATCTAGGGAGTCGGATCTAGCCCCGGCATTGGTTGGCAGCTACGGGCATTGGGGCGTGGCTCCGCCCACAACGCTAGCCTACTGACACCCCCAACCACTACCGTCCAGTAATGCGTGCATAGTCCTCCGACGACAGGGCCTGGGGAGACCAGTTCGGCGCTCGCATCAGCCATGTCTTCAGCGGTTCGTGGAAATATTCCGGTCCTGCTTCTCCTCATGCTGGGGATGGCTTTCGCGAGCATTGAGACCAGGTACGGTAGCGGCGCGCGTCGGTCAGGTCTCAAGCTGTTGATAGAACCTCTGGAGGAGCATCAGGCGGCCTCTGTCACACAGTGTCTGGTGCTGTGCGGCGCACTGGCTGGCTGTGTGGCGCTCAACTCAGGCACCATCTCCGATGAGATCAACTGCCAGCTGCTCGGTCAGCGCGCCTGCGATGGCCTGCCGCTGGTCGCTGACGCCGCCGTCAACTACTACGACGTGTACGACGAGCGTCGGAACCTGACCGCCGAGACCCAAACGCCGTTCTGGGACGACCCCGGCTGTGTGCATGACGGATACTGTGCGGCAGAGTGCGCAGCGGAGGCGGCCGGCGAGTTCTGCGCTGCGGACGCGCACTGCAGCGTCCATCTGAAGCCTACAGGCGTTTACCGGTGCTTGAACAGCACCTGCCAGCAATCCGAGTCGGCAGAGTTCTGGGAGGTGCGACCTGGACTGATGCTGCCCCGCTGGCAGCTCTGGAGGATAGACTCGTTCGCGTGGACCTGGAAAAAGCTGAAGCCGGGTACTTGCTCTTTAGATGTCACAGTAAAGATCGGTAGCAATGCAACGGTCAACATCGTACCCTCATGGAGTGATGACCCTGAAGCCACTGGGACACGGCTGCTCTTTAAGTTTACCAGCGAAAGCACGAATCTCACCTACCAGGACAGTAATGGAAACGGACACCAGCTTTCGATGGGAGTCGACACGATCGGTATGGTGAACAGCGACAGCTACAGCCCTCTGAAGATCTCCTGGTGCGGTGGGAACATGGCCATCGGTCCCGCCAGCAACCCTACGCTGGTCACAGGCTCCGCGATCCTTACCCAGCCGCTCAACTTCGTCGCAGTGCACAGCGGGAAGAATGCTGCTGACTCGTGGATGAAGGTGGACTCTGGTGTTGCCGATTCGTGGCTGTTCGAGGAGACTGGCGTCGACACCGATGTCGCCATGCCCATACCCAATCACAGCTATGTATACCGCCGGATCAACGCCACCAATAACGTCACCGTCAAGTACGACTGCAAAGCGCGGTCAGACTGTGTGGTCAGACTGCGCGGCGACCCTCGCCAGGTATTAAATATCGTCAGCGGCGCACGAGATAACACCGGATTTTTGCTCAAATACCGTGCGGTGACTTCTGAAGACATAGAATTCGTGAACACCGGCCCAGTTACCAGCGAAACGGAGTTCAACACGTTCACTGTGCACTACAACAGTGGCTCCGTCACCGTGCACCGCAACGATGCCCCAAGTCCGATCTACACTGCCACGACTCCGTACTCGATGCCGGAAATTACGTTGATCGGCCTCGGCGGCTGCTGCGGCAACAAGACCATCCGCGCCGCCCGCTACGACCCGGCCTGGAGGACCGACACTTGGCTGACCGAGGGACGCGGCTACAGCAACGGTGACGAGCCACCGCCGGAGCCTTAGGTAGCAAGGCTGCTGGATACATTCAAAGTAATTAGGTAAAAGGAGACATTCAAAATCTTAGCCCGCGCTGGGCCGGGGGGGGGGGGGTGTTTGAACACCCCCCCCCCCTCCCCCTGCGGTTTTTCGCAGATATATCAAAAACGTGGCGGCGCGGAGCGCAGTTTTTCGCTAATAACTTCTGATAGAGGCGCGCTAGAGCGCTGAAAACACCTTAGACGTGTTCGGCTCGACGTTGCAGATCGACTGATATGCAACATGACCTTTTCCGGGCAGGTCATGAGATTAACCTGAGGTCAAATTTTCAAGTTGACCTTTCAAGGTCAAATTATAGTTCTTTTCAACGGGTCTCCACGAGAGGAACACGATGCTGGCAAAAATAGGTAATGCCATGGCTCTTTTGAGTCAAAAGTTCCTGCCGAAAAAACGCTTTTCGTAAAAACGGCTATTTTTGGAGTTTTTGCCCTCTGGAGGCTAAACCGTTGACCTGAGGTCAAATCTGAGAACACTGCTCAGAAAGGTCTGTAAAAGGGCTATCGAATACGCTTTTCCGCGGCGCTGTAGCTCTATCGGTTCCCGAGATAGTCGTCGGCAGTTTCCAAAATTTTGAAATAGTCAACATTGTTGTATTATGGTCCAACCCCCGCACGGCTGCTGGCCGCGCCTGCGCGCGCCCCTGCCGCCGCCACCGCTGGCCGCCCCGGCTCTGTGCCTGTGAGCGCCTCTGCCGCCGCCAGCTGACTGTGCGCGCCGAGCGGCAGAGCTGGCGCGGGCGACTAGGCGCGGCGCTCGCCATACTTGTTATCTTTTTGGACACTCTTTCGGCCTGAACGTATCGCAGTATAATAAATCGCGTTTCTCATTGATTGTGTGCTCTTTCACTCAAACGAACCAAAACATAACATGGCGCGGACGGTTTTGTAATTACGTGACTGAGCAGCTTACAGCGCGATGAAGAAAATTTTGATTCAGGAACTGACGGCGCTGCTGGAGAGGCAGGCGGAGAGAGCCGCCGAGGCCGACAAGCGCCTGGAGCGTTTGGAGAGGCTGCTGTACAGAGAGCCCTCCGCGGGGACCGGGACGGGCACGACGGCCGGAGTGTCAGAGTCGGGGGCTGAGCGAGGCGCTGAGGGATCCGTTGGACCAGCTGCCGCCGCCCGCCGGACTGTCTGCCTGCCGGCGTCGGCGACCCCGGCCCCGCACCTGAAGTCGGCCTCGACGTGCAAAGCCCGTGTCGAGTGCAGTGTGCGCGACAGTGAGACAGGAGCGGTGAGCAGGCTGGAGGACTCTGAGCCGACGCTCAGACACGCCGTGACAGTGGGGGAAAGGTGGAGTGCCCATGTCACGTGCCAAGACCTCTGCGGCACCAAGGGACATTTCGTGGCCCACCTGTCGCCCTACAAGAGGGACCACAGTCGGCCGAGTGTCGCCCATGCCGCCGCCGCCACCAATCGTCAGTTTCTTGAGCGCTGCCCTACCTGTGGCCGTCGCCAGCACGCCGGCGGAGACACGTGTCGCGCCGCTGGCGCCATCTGTCGTGCGTGTGGCGAACCAGGACATTTTGAGGTGGTGTGCCACCAGAGGGCCAGCACCACAGCGGTGGCGCCATCTGCAGTGACGAGAGTACGAGACTCTCCGGGGGTGGCGCTAGTAGCGGTAGCCGCCGGCACCGCCGTGTCACCGCCGCCGGCGGACACGGGCCAAGCCGGGCACACTGCGCTGCAGCCCACGGAGCTGAGTGACGCTGCTGACGCCTACGGAGCCTCGCCGCCGCCGGCGGGAGGTATCCCAACTTGGAGCACGGACCGAGGGTACGGAGCCTCGCCGCCGCCGGCGGGAGGCCCATCGGCAGCCACCGGCGCCGCCGTGTCGTTGCCGCCGGCAGACACGGGCCGAGGAGCCGGCCGTACCGCGGCGCAGCCCACCGAGCCGGCTGGCGCGCGCGGAACCTGCCCGCCGCCGGCGGGAGGCTGGCCAGCACAGACCATGGAGGCAGCCCCCGGCGTGTCACCGCCGCAGGCGGACACGGACCGAGCTGGATGTACCGCGGCGCAGCCTACAGAGCCGGCTGACGCCCACGGAGCTTCGCCGTCGCCGACGGGAAGCCTTCCAACGCGGACCAGCCATGGAAACGAAGCCGCTGGTGACGCCGTGTTGCCGCCGCCGGCGGACACGGGCCAACCCGGGGCCACTGCGGTGCAGCCTGCAGGCCCGGATGCAGCGGCTGTAGCTTACGGAGCCTCGCCGCCGCCGGCGGGAGGCCTACAAACGCTGAGCACGGGCCGAGGTGGAGCTGCCGGCCCCGCCGTGTCACCGCCGCCGGCGGACACTGGCCAGATTGGGTGCACTGCAGCGCAGTCTACCAGGCCGGCTGCCGCCTACGGAGCCTCGCCGCCGCCGGCGGGAGGCCTACCCACGCGGACCAGGGACGGAGGTACAGCCGCCGGCTACGCCGTGTCGCCGCTGCCGGGGGACACCAGCCAAGCCGACTGTTGTGCGGCACAGCCCACCGAGCTGAGTGAGACTACTGACGTCTACGGAGCCTCGCCGCCGCCGGCGGGAGGCATGCCAACTCGAAGCACGGATGGAGGCCCAGCCGCCAGCACCGCCGAGTCGCCGCCGCCGGCGGGCACCGGCCAAGCCGGCTGTAGTCATGCGGCGCAGCCTACCGAGCTAACTGACGCCTACGGAGCCTCGCCGCCGCTGGCGGGAGACCTGCCAGTACGGAGTGGGGACGGAGACCCGTCCGAACAAATGGTAGCGGCTCACGCCGCCGCGCTCCTCCGTACGCCGCAGGGATGCGTGCCCGCCGGTGGCAAGTCCGACCGGCGCGGTGACACGAACCTCGGTGACACCACCCTCCACTCGGTCGAGGTGGTGGATGACCTGCTCGGCCCGACCGTCGATGACGAGGTGTGGGAGGACGCTGAGGACCCGCTTCACGCAGCTGCCGTCGCAGCTATGCTCGCTGAGCGGGATACGGAGTGCGACGCGCGTCTGCCGCCGCTCGTGGACCCGAGTCTAAGGGTGACCAGAGCCGCCGGTGACCGCGACCCGTGGCCGCCACCGACACCGGAGCGACGCCTGCCGCGGACCTCCCCGTGCGACGGGGGGCGCGTCCGCTGCAAGAAGCGCCCGAGACGCCGCGGAAGAGAGCGCAGGCGCCGCCGTCTGCACCGCGCTGCGGTGGCCTTGTGCGCCCGGACCCCGGAGGGCCTGCTGTGGCGCCTTGGGGTGAAGACGATGTGATCGTCTTGGGGGGGAGGTGTTGTATTATGGTCCAACCCCCGCACGGCTGCTGGCCGCGCCTGCGCGCGCCCCTGCCGCCGCCACCGCTGGCCGCCCCGGCTCTGTGCCTGTGAGCGCCTCTGCCGCCGCCAGCTGACTGTGCGCGCCGAGCGGCAGAGCTGGCGCGGGCGACTAGGCGCGGCGCTCGCCATACTTGTTATGTTTTGGTTCGTTTGAGTGAAAGAGCACACAATCAATGAGAAACGCGATTTATTATACTGCGATACGTTCAGGCCGAAAGAGTGTCCAAAAAGATAACAAGTATGGCGAGCGCCGCGCCTAGTCGCCCGCGCCAGCTCTGCCGCTCGGCGCGCACAGTCAGCTGGCGGCGGCAGAGGCGCTCACAGGCACAGAGCCGGGGCGGCCAGCGGTGGCGGCGGCAGGGGCGCGCGCAGGCGCGGCCAGCAGCCGTGCGGGGGTTGGACCATAATACAACACCTCCCCCCCAAGACGATCACATCGTCTTCACCCCAAGGCGCCACAGCAGGCCCTCCGGGGTCCGGGCGCACAAGGCCACCGCAGCGCGGTGCAGACGGCGGCGCCTGCGCTCTCTTCCGCGGCGTCTCGGGCGCTTCTTGCAGCGGACGCGCCCCCCGTCGCACGGGGAGGTCCGCGGCAGGCGTCGCTCCGGTGTCGGTGGCGGCCACGGGTCGCGGTCACCGGCGGCTCTGGTCACCCTTAGACTCGGGTCCACGAGCGGCGGCAGACGCGCGTCGCACTCCGTATCCCGCTCAGCGAGCATAGCTGCGACGGCAGCTGCGTGAAGCGGGTCCTCAGCGTCCTCCCACACCTCGCCGCCGCCGGCGGGCACCGGCCCGACCGTCGATGACGAGGTGTGGGAGGACGCTGAGGACCCGCTTCACGCAGCTGCCGTCGCAGCTATGCTCGCTGAGCGGGATACGGAGTGCGACGCGCGTCTGCCGCCGCTCGTGGACCCGAGTCTAAGGGTGACCAGAGCCGCCGGTGACCGCGACCCGTGGCCGCCACCGACACCGGAGCGACGCCTGCCGCGGACCTCCCCGTGCGACGGGGGGCGCGTCCGCTGCAAGAAGCGCCCGAGACGCCGCGGAAGAGAGCGCAGGCGCCGCCGTCTGCACCGCGCTGCGGTGGCCTTGTGCGCCCGGACCCCGGAGGGCCTGCTGTGGCGCCTTGGGGTGAAGACGATGTGATCGTCTTGGGGGGGAGGTGTTGTATTATGGTCCAACCCCCGCACGGCTGCTGGCCGCGCCTGCGCGCGCCCCTGCCGCCGCCACCGCTGGCCGCCCCGGCTCTGTGCCTGTGAGCGCCTCTGCCGCCGCCAGCTGACTGTGCGCGCCGAGCGGCAGAGCTGGCGCGGGCGACTAGGCGCGGCGCTCGCCATACTTGTTATCTTTTTGGACACTCTTTCGGCCTGAACGTATCGCAGTATAATAAATCGCGTTTCTCATTGATTGTGTGCTCTTTCACTCAAACGAACCAAAACATAACAAACATTTTACCTTTGGTGACCTCTGGTGACCTGATCTTTGACCTGACCCAAAAAATGACAGAAGTGTTTTGGTCCTTGTTATGGACGTTCTTTCGATTGCCGCATACCGCGTGTCGCTACGTGGCCCAGGAGCCGTGTTAGAAGGGGGGGGGGGTGTTCAGACACCCCCGGCCCGGAGCGGAATCTCAGATCACCGGCCCGGCACGGGTTAAAAGGCTCATGGGTGGAGATTTTACAGGGAAGTTAGTGGGGCAAATAGTCGTCAAGCCTACAATTCCAATTGCTAGGTTAAATAAAGTGCAACACTGAATCAATTATTTTTATTACAGAGATAAACGTCCATTTCAAAAGAGATTTCTAAGTTCCTCAATGCGAAAAAGATTGGTTTGCTAAGAAACAAAGCCATACAAATCAGCTTAAGTTGGTGGAGCAAAACGTTTATTGGTGGGGCAAAATGGCAAGTCGGTAGGGCAGCCGCTCCATCAATTGAGAAGGAAACTCCGCCCCTGAAAAGGCTTCGACAAGGTGAACTACAGAAGTGAGTGCTCGTGTCGTTCAGTCACGGGCAAAGGTTCAGGATCAATTGGGATCGAAAAAAGCCTTCGCGGCACGAGTGACTGAGACAGGGAACAAGCTGTCTGAGAACACAATTGAAGCAAAAAATCGATGTTTTAAGCTCGGATGGGGAGGGAATGGAAAGATCACTCTGAGAAGGTAACCCGCGCATGACCCCCTCCCGTTTTTCGGCAATATCTTCTAAACCATTTCACGGATCAACACGAAACTTGCAGTACTCTCAGCTGCACCAATTTGACACATTTTGTTGAAATTTCAACTTTCTAGCTACCAAAGTTTGGCCAGAAATGACGCGGAAATGACGTCAGAGTGACGTCATGTCGGCCGATTTTGATACAAATTATTGAATTACGGCAAACGCTCTCAAGAGCTTAGTTTTAAAGCTAGATCCAATTTCTTTGTATCAGTGGGGCTACAAATATACGTAACTGTCAAACTGCTATCTCGAATTTTCAAAATTTTGAGAATTTTGAAAATATACCTATTTTCACAATTACAAAAATATATTTTTTGGATTAAAAAATATATATATATAAACCGGAATATATGTAATAGAACTCACACTGATGAACTTCTCTATCAAATTTTACCTCGACATCTTCAAAAATAGCCAGGTTATTTGCCATGGGCGCCGCCACCGGGGGGGACGGGGGGACGCGTCCCCCCACTCTCGGATTGGAAGGGGGACGTCCCCTCAAACACTCATTGTTATCCTTCTAGAAACTTGAATGTTCAAACTTCAAAATCATTCGAATTTCTTTCGCTTTTGTCAAGTCAAAAATGTTAAGTAGGTATCGCAAAAATACCGGTAGGCGGTAGCATGGGCGTCAAAAGCGGGGGGAGGGGGACGAGTTCTTCCATAGTTGAGGAATCTGGAGGGGTCCTCTCCAAATAAAACATCCACGAATGTTAAAAAAGACCTTCCTTCTATTTGTAACGGTCATTCGCAATGGAGTAACGAAAACAGAAATAGACAATAGACATTCTTCAAATGGATGCTGATGCTGGTCACTTCGACCATACACAAATAAAACCTCAAGAATATAAATGTTTTTGTATTTGATCAGCTTAGGAAATCCGGACCTATCAGAGACTGGTAAGCAAGGGTGGCGCGACAGGAGAGGGGGCGGAGGGATTTCCTCTCCCACTTCATGGAACCGAGGGCTTATCGCCTCCAGTTTTGCTTAATGCTTTCTGTCTAATGTTTCTTATTAACCCTCGCCCTGGCAGGGCATTTCTCCTAACGCGACCTGGCACGGGAGGTCGATGCGCCTCGCCCCCCGGGCGTTTCAAAAATCAGCGTCTGCGCTTCGCAACAAAGACCAGTCGATTGCTCTCAACGAGTACTAGTGATTGATGGTATATTTCTTGACCCTAAGGTTAATAGTTGACCCAGTAATGGCAGGTCAAAGGTGAAATTTCGAAAAGGTATAGTTTTCCAAATTACTTAGCGAATATTGGCGAATTTATGAAAGATAGCGACATGAAACTTTCACGACCGTGTTCCTCAACGAATTGGCAGCAAAATGGTGTATAGTTTACTGCATTTCAGTCATTACTGGCGTGACGTATTGTGTTCTCCGGGAACACCGGAGGTCACACCCGCCACCGGCGAGGACGGTCGCGAATATCGAGAGCTTGACCTGGGTTGACCTAGGAAAGGTTGAGGAACAGTTTTGAAGGCGTTTATGTAACAATTGAACCACAGATTCGGATGCAGGAGCTCAAGAAACCCCGAACATGCGAGGTCAACAGCTCATTGATCTTGGTTGACCTTAAAAAGGTCAATATACAAAGTAAAGATTCATGTCCGGTCAAAGTCTGACATAAATCACACGGAATAGTTTCGTTCTTGTCGAAGAGATCCCGTCCAGTTATGGTGTACCTATGTACGATTTTGTCAAAAACGGTCGGTCGGATCATGTGACTATTATGACGTCACAGCTCGGTGACCTGGCATGACCCGAGAATATTTTATTTACCAAAAGTTGCGCAAAAGATGCCCCATAGGCTATGGAAAATTTCAGCACGATCCGGTTCGGCGCACATCGCAAAAAAAGCCTCAGGGAGGGGGGTTGCATCGACCCCCTTGCCAGGTCGAGGGTTAGGTAGTGCTTTTTTCAAAGGCATAATAGGAAACTCCATGACACCAAAAGTTCCTATACACTGACAAACAACTACACCTGAATATGACAGCGACAGCCGTCATGACGAGCACCGGTGCAGCAGAGAATTTGTGGCATAGATCTTAGTCGCGTACCTAGGCGATAAGCGTTTGACAAGTACATGGACAAAAAGATGAAACGGAGCCTAATCTGAGAGGGCCCAGGAGTTTTAAATACACAGTGTGCACAATGGGTTATATCCCATGGACTTATGGAGTATGGGCCTACATCCATTGGTCTGACCCCTGCCACATCGGGCAAGAAAATCTCTAGCTCTTATCCGACCTGTCATCGCGGAACTGCCGACTTTTGATATCGTCATCGACGTGTGTCGTATAACACGACTGGCCGAAAACGGGCTTAATATATTTCGACTAACGAGCCAAGAGCATGACTTTAACCCAGTCCGACCTCGGAGTCAAAATACGAACAATTTCGAAGACTCCAAATCCGATTCTGGCCAGAACTCTCAACTCCGTCTGACTCTGGCCCCGACCCTACAGTTCAGCAGTCACAATACACTAAGTTTTCAGCTTCTAAAAAATAAGCTTTTAGCTATATACCTACCTACGGTTGACTTGACGGGACCGCAAGACTTTGAGGGGCGACTTGACTACTTGACTTGGTGACCTGACCTTAGGTTTTCTGGTATCAAGCTTGGTACACGGGCTAAGGGCTACAAAATTTGTATTTTGGAGCAGTTTTGCCAAATGTTATTTGCCAATTTTCGGGGCGCTTCGCGTCGCCGATTC